TGGTGTGTTAGGTTTGTATATTATTTCGGTTTGAAGTCGCTTATTATAAGATTAGTTTCTAAGCGTAGCTCAGATCTGGCACAAGGTCGAAAGTATGGGGCACATAGTGAGGATCGAACTCACTTCTCAGTCGTAACTGATTTAGCGAGACAAGCCTGCTAACCATTACACCACGCCGAGGTACCCTAGGGCGCTTATTATAAGTAGGTGAAAAGCATAACTGAACAACTTTTCCAGTCCCGTTATCTTCAGTTTTGCTCTCAATTATTCCACTTGCTAAGAACCACACACACACACACATATTATGTAGCCATTTTTACTACACTGTAAGTTGTCTCCGTGCAAACTGTGTCTATACATTTGACTATAGGGTGTACAATGTTGATCTCAGAAACTGAAACATTGGGGAACTGTGATTTTCTAGATGCAGTCACATCTTCGCTGGTCAGGTCATGTTGTGAGGATGTGTGAGGACAGAACGCCGAAGGTCCTCATGTATGGCCAGCTTGACGGTGGACAAAGGACTGTTGGACAGCCGTGATTCAGGTATAAAGGCAAGCTACAGAGCAAAGGTCGGCAACCTACGGCCCGCGGGACGGATCCGGCCCGCGAAGGCACTTTGACCGACCCGCAAGCCTGATTACCAATGACTCTATTTTTAACATGAGAGACGAGGCTTTCGAATTAGACTATCTGCCAGTTATCTTTCATGAGACTTCAAGTTGCGTTGCTTACGCTTAATGTCAAATAATGGTTACATATTTGTTATGACCCTTGGCTACATTAAAAGATAACAGAAGCGAAAGGAACGATAAAGTGAAAGAGGCCAGGGAGGGACTGACATGCAAAGTAGCAGAAATCTAAAGACGGTTAAATATACGCGCATTATACATACATGCCTCATGAATGTGTGGATGATACCGCATGTGTACGTACTTTGCAACTATTTGTACTCGTCTGTATGGGTATATGTGCTTCGTTTTTGTTTGATGTGTGTGTGTGTGTGTGGTTCGTTTGTGGAACAATTTTCAATAACATTTTCAAACCTACACGTCATAATTTCATCCATTTCACTTCGGTTGATTTTTTCTCTTTGAAGTATTTTGTCGTTCCTTGAGAAAAAGTAATTTTAGGTGTTTATTAATTTTAAATTTTCTTTTGTTTTTCTGATTTCTCAATGTTTATTTTCATTATTGTTTTAAATATTTAGGTTGACAGGGGTCTGCATATGTAATTTTCCTTAATTTTTCATTAATGGCCTTCGTCCGGCCTGCGACCCGTCATTATAACACGATCCGGCCCGCGGGGTCGAATGAGTGGCCGCCCCCTGCTATAGAGTATCCTCTCAGCTGTCAATGTGCCGCATACTAACCTCGAGCGATTTACCCTGGATAGAAATAACTGGAGATATTTGTGCCGGACTCGTATCAGAAATTTCAAGATCAATTGTATTGACCGACTTAAAGACGAAAGACAACGGTGGAAAACATCAATAAATATTCTTGTAGCTACATCCTGAGGTCTGCGGTGTTGCACAGTATGCGGACCTGTATGCAGATCACTAACGGGATTAAAGTGTTGCATACGACAGCTAAACATAAGATCTGAATGCGGTTGTCGGATCTGAGTCCATTTCTACTGAGTCCAAGTACATACTGACCGGTCTAGGGATTCAACAATTACTATGTCATCAAATTCACGAAACAACGCTTTCATCCACTAGACAATTATCCCTTAGAACACTAGAATGATTTTGTTCTGTCACCAATGTTGACTCTTTTATTAGCAGCAGTGTCACGATCTCCTATGAGTCAAACGAAGTTTAATGAACACTAGCAGCATGGCCCGGCGTTGCCCGTGCTTGATTCAAAAATCGTACGACTCAATCAGTAATCGCTATCACTTGACTTAAAATATGGTAGCCTGCTAGTTAACATTCGTGTCAGTCAGCTGGCCAATAGAATCTACCTGCCTATTCGTGGCAGTCAGCTATAGGTTCTCACTCTGATCAGTAGAAAATGGCTGCAAACTACATGAAAATTGCCGTAGAAGAATGAAAAAATCGATTATTTTGACTATCGATGGGAGTTGGGAAATGCAAAGTCGGTCTTGGCCTTTCCACTAACTAGGGACATGTGCATGTAAATTTTGATGCAAATCCGTCGAAGTTTGCAGCTGTGCATTCGTTACACACACACACACACACATGCACATCCTGCCTTTTAGAGACAGAGATAAATATTTTGCAAAATATATTTATGGATAAATTTTATTGTAACCATAACGTTAAAGTTTTAACTTTTATTTGATATGATAAATTAATAACTATTTTAATTATATACTCGTGTCAAATATATTTGATTAAATTTTAATGCTTATATAAGCACATATAAAGAAATAGTATTTTATTGTGATTTCAAACGGGTTTAATATGTTTATTATGATTATGTACCTGTAAAAAGATTTTTTACATCATTGTGTGATTTCTTTTAGGTTCCAAGATATAAGGCACGGCAAGAACTCATTTTACCATCCATCAGCATGGCTGATGCTAACCTCCATTAAAGCGATTTATCTCGTCTTCTCGGACTAACCTTTTCTGCTGACATAAAGCTGAAAAATTATATTGAATCAGTTGCTAGGAAAGTTGGTTCACTGTACCGTATTTGACTATTTTTCTTACCAGAAATTATTTTGCATATTTATAATTCTACGAATCTTTCTTGCTTTGTATACTTCAACCATATAATGTCTGGTGTTCTTAGTATATATTTAGAGATTCTTGATAAAATCCAAAGAATCAGAAATCTTATTGGTCCTGATCTGGATTTTCGTCTTCAGTTATTTTCTCAACGCCGTAAAGCAGCTTCTCTGTACCTTTTTTATAAATCCTTTCATGATAATTGTCGTGATGAACATTGCACTATGGTACCTTGACTTTATGAATTTAAGTGAAGTACTAGATTTGCGGCAGGGCTTCATCAATTTGAAATGACACAATGTAACCGTAAATTCTATACTAAGAGTTTCTTTTCTCTCATTTCTCGCTTTCGAGACACTGCTTCTTAATTTCTCAAGTTTCATCATCAAAAATTCAAATGCAATGTTAATCGTTCTCTTCTGTCTTCGAAATTTCAGTTCTTTTATTGTTGTTGCTCCTCAATATTTTTATTTTCTTTGTATGTTTTCACCCCTGCATCTTAGAAGGTTTGTTGCATTACTTGAGGTGTTCTATGTTCTATTCATATTTATAAATGGATAAGCCACATTCAAATATATAATCACAACCTCCGCTATCCTGCACAGAAAAAATCTAAAACCAAAGCATTTCTCTCATGACAAATGTGGATCTAATTCCAAGAAACAAAAATTTCCATTGCCTAAAAACAGTTATTGCTGGCGGATATCTGCAGCAAGCACAATGGAAATCTTAATATGTGGCAACTGATCACATTAAAAAGAGGTTACGCATTATTTTACTGTTTTGCACATTCTCAGTAAAACTAACCTCAGAATGGATGCATATAGCATTAAGCCGGTCATCAAGATGGTTCCCGGTTATCTGTGATGGAATTTAACGGCAGAAGGCATTTTTTTAAATTACCTACATAAAAAGTGACTGTATATGATTTGTCAAAAATATATACTTGTTATTTTATTACTCGTTTTATGTATCTTCTGCTTCTTTGAAAAAAAAATATATATACAGCGAAAACAAAATGGCTTTCAGAAAATTACTAATTTGTTTTCCTATTGAAATAATTCAACCTCCTGTAGGTGAATTGCGTAAACCGACGTCGAATACCAAATGCCAGAGCCTCCTCGAATGCAGTCTATTTCTGTATTTCGCTATTAACCTCTGCTGTCGAAAAATGTATCGGTCCCGAATCATGTAATAATCAAGAACAATTACTTAAGAAAACGTAAAATTGATGGATTAATTGGTTGTTTGCTTAGTTTTCTACAGTTTATCAATCCTTTGCAGGTTATTTAAAACCAGAAAATATTTTTAGAATGTTAGGTGGGGGGGATAGCTGTAGTTTAGTAATACAAATCTTGCTAATTAACCCATAACACATTGTTTTTAGTTTCAAAGATCATTTTATATACTTTTTGTGTAAATGATTCACTTACTGAATCCAAATATTATTCTAAGATAATTAACTAAGATGTCGAAAAAGAATTTCGTCAAATTTAATTTATGAATATAATCTTGGCCGGACTGCAGCTCAGACGGCTTGAAACTTTAATAATGTTTGGGATGGAAGGATCTGTTAAGGAATGATTCATTTGTTTTTTACGGTTTATCAACCTTTTGCGGTTTAATTAAAGTTTGTAAGATTTTTTTTTTAGATAATGGCGGTTTAGTGTTGCTCTCTTGTTGTTTTTCTTGTAACGGCATTCACCCGGGGTGGGTTGAGCCGGCTCCAATATTGGAGTTTCATGGGAATTTGGATTTCACAAGCGGTCCCCAACCCACATGTATAGCACGTGAGATTTGATTATAGTGGTGAAGGTTTCGTGCAGGACCATCCGCACTTTTTGAAGGGCCGATTACAGAGACATGGTGCACTACGTACCACAAGGTCCCCAAACGACCCTCGGCAGGTTTTGAATTCAGAGTTTTCCTTCTCCTAGACCAGTTGCCATCCAAGGCTATAGAACCCAGGCTGTCCTGCTATTTAACCATAGCTGGAGGGAGAAGAAGAGGATTCACACCTTTCACGTAAGTGAATGTAATGGATTCGACTGGAATTCGAACTCGGCTCTCCGATTCCTCAATCCAAGACGCTATCCACGGTAATCTCTACCGTGCCTCCTCTGGCGGTTTAGTGATACAAGTCTTGCTAATTAATCCATGGCGAGAAGGAAAAGGTGGATCCATATACTTCCGAAATATTTGCTCATAATTGAATATAATGAACCCAACGGGAATTGAAACTCAGATATCCGATTAGCAATTCCGTGCCATTATCCATTACATCAGCAACACATTCAAGCTTACAGCACCTGGTATTCCAAAGCGGTCACCCACCTAGGTACTGATCAGGCTCTGTGTTGCTTGACTTCGGTGATGGTAAGGCAAGCGGTGTTTTAACGTGTTGTATCTATAAGCTATTATTGTAAGTTTCCGTTTATATATTAAATCGATAATGCCAAATCTAAATTCATTCTCTAGACTTGCTGTGCCAGAGGATTTTGCGCATATCACTGGCCAACGAAAAAGATAATGTGTGTTTTTATACTAGAATTCGCCTAATGCCATGTACAAGAGCCACTCAAATGGATGAGGCAAAAAGAGTACACGTGCGTACGAAGGAGATGTGATGCTGAGATTTTGAACTTGATTTTTAATGTGTTTGGATATATAGTTCATTCCCCTTTCTCGTTAGATATTCTATTAGCAAAATGTGGGATATTTAATAACAAAAATGATAAGAATAGAGAAACTAAATGAAATGGACTAGATTGTACACCTAAAACACATTTTTTTAAAAATAGTTCAATTTAAAATTTTAACATCTTTATCATGAGCATGTATCATCACATCAAAGTAAAATTCTTTATCCCACTTTGTAAGATATTTCTTTTTTGTTAAGCAATATGACCCCATGCAAGGCAATAAAGCCACTAAGACACAATGGGTTACAAGGTGTGAAACAATTAGAAACAGAAACATTAATAAAGTTGAATGAAATAATGAAAGAGGAAAGAGTAACCTGGAAAACTGTAGATAGCAATTGTCATTACATTTAAATTTTTGCAAATTGATGTTGGCTGGAAAACATGGAACCGGAAGGGCGTTCCACAAGCGAAAAGTGCGAGAAAAGAAACTGTCAGCGTAGAATTTACGGTAAACTGATGAGATCTTGACGCCAGTCTAGTACTGTGTTTAAATTCAAAAATCTAGATATCATTGCAAAGAGCACATCAGAAGAATGGAGGAGGCGATCCAAATGTGCGGAATCTTTGGAAAGTACCTGAAAACCATGCCACAGGTTGACCCAAGCCTTGTGAGCGAAATTGTCTTGACGGAACACTTGGAAACCGACGGTGGTTGTACTAGCACGAAGTAACAAGTCATCGTGACCGAGGTTTTGAGCATGCTAGCTTTGTTCAGTGTTGATCACTCTAGATAACGCGCTCTCTCCCCGGAACTGTAACTAAGACCCGTTCAGTATAGGTGGCTCTGTGAGTCATGAACAAACACAAAATGTGTCTCAGTAGACGTCTGCAAAGGGGATTAGCTAGCCACTCTAGTAAAGTGCCATCCTTGAATTCGAGTTGCTGTATTATTTAGCTTTTTATTACTCTGGATTTTATCAAAGATCTCAAGGTAAATAGCAGGGACACTGAGCCACATGTGACAGCAATATTCTAAGCATAAATAAATGGTAGACTTATAGATACGCAAAATAGATTCTAGAGATAAAAATGTCTCGCATGATACAGTGAAACAATTTTCGGAGGAGCTGATCTCGCGATGGGTTCAATATAGCGCCTTCATAGCAGCTGAGAACGTTAATCTGGGAAGGAGCAACGAATCACTTTCCTGGTGGTTAGCATCAGTCATATTGATGGATGACAGAGAGGGATTGGATATCTTTTAATTATGGTAACATTGTATAAATACAAATTATGGACAGAGTCATACTCGCATATATCAAGCAGTATTAATGTGGAAGTGTATTTTTTGCTGGAGCTTCCGCCAAATTTCCGTGATGTGAAAACATTTCGGAAAATGGTGTGGGTGTCTAACAACCCACGCACTTGTAGATAACTTTAAGCAATTTCTGTTCTTTGATATACAGAAACTTTGTTACAAGCTATTTTGAATAATGGAATCTCATTACTTGTTAGACATTTTTATCTTCACTGTGTACATAATAGAATATCATCAGAAACTATCAAGCTCCTTTTATTTCAATATATATGTCTTCTTAAGACATAAAAATAAATCATTTGATATTTAGATAGAGCACAATTATTGTTCTCTTAATTCAGTTTCATTATCTTGGCAGACAAGTAAAGTCACTGTAATAGTAGTATAAGTAATAGATAAGTGCTATTACCTTAAATATTAGGTCAGGCCATAATTAATTTCTGGTATTGTATTGACAAATGCATCAGCTTATCTACTAATCATATGTGACATTTAAGAGTAATGTTACATTGTGTGTCGAGCTGTTATTCATTTAGAGTTATTAAAACTAAATGAAACATTAAATGCACATTTATAATTCCGGCAGCTGCATCGTGTCTATACAATTTTCGTTAAATATTATTCAATATATTGTAATCTTGTTTTAGTTTCTGGAGAATGATAAACAAAAAAGAAAATTATTCCTGACTCAACAAAACAATTTCCCAAAATAGGTTCTGATATATTTGTTACCAAAAAAAAAAAAAAAAAAAAGTTACCTGATCAAATATGCTGAAAAAAACATTTTAATTTCTTCCCACGGAAGAATTCTGTCGAAAAGAAAGTAATGGTCTGTCATAAATGGAAGATTATGCCAAGTAACGATCTATCATGAATCACTGAGCAGAGCAGGAGGAGATTCGTGTTGAACATAGCATTCAATCTTATCGAAGAAAATATGAAAACAATTTTTAGATGCGAAATAAAAAACCCAAAAAACATTTAGTGAAACTCTCGCACCGCCACTCCCCCACCAAAAAACAAAAAAAATCGGACATCGTGATCTTTTAAAAATAAATGTATTCGACAGTAATTTTGGCCTTCAGACGCGTGATGTTTGCAATCTGCTCATAACGCAACGTCTTCAGATAAAAATAGATTAAATCTGCTACAAATCAAAGCAAAGAGACACAGAGACACAGAGACACAGACATATGTGGATATTTAAGGAAATGGACAGTACAACACCAGCTAGCAGTGTGCAGCACGCGCACATAATAGTAATAATAATAATAATAATCTCAATAAAATGTTGTTCATAGTATCTGAAAAGAGAAGTTGGATAAAGAAGGCTCGTTAAGATTGAGAATTATATCGACTCAAATCAGAATAATAAAAGATTGATTATGACAGTCAAACATTGCGAGAGAATTAATAAAGGCACTGAAATGGTAGCAGAAACTTTAGAAAAACAGAAAATACACCATAAAATGCCCAAGGAAGTTTCAAAATAAGAAAAAATGAAATAACATGGCTACCATTTTGCGAAGAATACACATGAAGAGATGTATTGAATTGTAATAACTGACAACCTAGACATATTATGCTAGTATCCCTCTCAAAGTAATACTTTCTATTGCATTATGTTGGTTCCCGGCACATTATAAAAATTTACCATATTACAAAGGATAGCTGAGTGGTATATTGGCGTCTGACATGAAAGTACATACTCAGCAGATGTGTATTATTAAATTCCTCTGTGCGGAAAAGATTGACATATCAACGCTTTCCGAACGTTTACAGTGAAAAGAAACAATGGTTGTGAGCACAATAAGGCTTTGGCTACGGCGTTTTAGCAGTGACGATAGTGATGCTACTGAGAAATTATGTTTGGAACAGTATAAACACAGCTTTTAAACCACGAAATGAAGGACTCGTATTATCGCTATTGAGAATGTTTAATCAATGCACGTGGAATAACTTTTGTAGCTGAAAACCTGTTCTTTCCAACAGTGTTATTATGCCCCCCTGACCCCTTGATATATATATATATATATATATATATATATATATATATATATATATATATATATATATATATAGGTTGTCTTGAAAATGGAACGGTGGCATACATTCCCTGCCTATTGATTGAAACATGTCTTTGTAAATTTGATTGGCGTTGGTTTTCCTCACCAGAATACATACAAATATAATGTTTAAAAATGTCGACCTTATAAGAAAACTAAAAATAATGTGAAATGTAGAGAGAACGATCAGACCCATCAATACTAGAATACTTGAGATAGTCAGAAAGATCATTTTGTGAACGAATTGGAAACTTGAGGAATAATCGATCCAGACGACAACATTGCAGTAAAGATTTCAGAAGTGTGGCATAATCTCAATCCTCCTCTAGAGCAGTGAATACTGGACAATATTCTCACAGGTGAAGATGAGACTTGAAGCAACAGAAACTTGGTTCTACAGAAGGATGCTGAGAATACCATAGACCGAACATGCCAGCAACGGCGAAGTTTTAGTGAAAATAAAATCACTTATACTTAACATCAGAAAGAGAGAGCTGAAAATTCTAGGGCAAAGAGGAAAGAGGGCTTGGAAGATCTGATACCCAGAGGACAGATTGAAGGCAAGAGGGACAAATAAAAACGACGCATAAGTTAGCTTAGCGGACTTGAGTAAGTCAATGCTGGAACATGGATTGGGAGAACTAACAAAAGATGAAATTTATTTAGATCTAAAATGACAAGAAATCGTGGAGAGCCATGATCGCCAACGTTTTGAAGACACATGGAACATATAAGAAGAACGGGGAATGTACTGGATAATTGAGAATTACTGGCAATTAAATTCTAGTGATATGCTGCAGTCATCTGCTTTCCATGAAAATGAATAATAATGAAAATAATAATGTATGATAAAATGGCCTTTTTCTGCATTGGTGCATATGTAGGAAGTATGGACTTGAAATTGACAAGAAATGTTCCGCCACAAGATCGAGAATGACCAAGCAAAGATCTTTTAGGATTTCAACATCGTCACAGACCGCGTCCTTTAAGCCACAGAACCAGACATCACCATCGTTGGAAAAAAAGTCTCACTCCCCTCTCTTTCGGCAAACATTTGGGTAGACATAGATAAACGTGTCCGCAATAAGACATATTGCCAAAAGGAGGTCTTTCCAATGACACCGTTTTTTTTAACTACCTTCATTCTCCAGCAGTGTTTATTGTTTTAAAGAGAAGTGAAGAAAATGCATAAATACATTTTCATATGTTTAGGTTTTATTATAATTTTAATCGTCGCTTTTTAAAACAAACATTGCCGAGGAGAGAAAATTAATTAAAAAAACCGGTGTCATGGGAAAAAAATTGCTTTTGACACTCCGTCTTATTGCGGGTACGTTTATACATGTTTGCTGTGCTTTCTGTCTGAGAT